TTTTAACTGTTCAGGGAAAAGAAAGAAAGAGAAAAAAGTTGCGCTCTTCGCGTGCTCCGGCAGTCACGTAGCCACGCGTGTAACTTCGCTCTCCCGGGGGGTTCGATCGAGCCGCCTAGTTTTGTAGTAACGTAATATCCGCTGATTTTAATGAAGTTTTGACAAGGGAGAAAGGGTCTGCAGTTGCCTATTTCACGTTTTGCATTTTCATGGTGCCAGTGGAATCTATATGAATAGAATATATCTGTATCTGTAATGAAATATACAGAAATAACTGTATATTTCTGCTTCTCTGTCCAAAACCTTAGTCTTCTGGCAAATGACTTTCACCAAGGGAAAGCCCAGGCAGCACGAGGGGTTCGTTACAGTGGGGCGGTGAATGGAGAGGCGCCTGCCGCCGCGCCTTTCGTGGCTCCCGGCCCTGGCAGGCTTGCGGGATGCTGGAGTTTTCTGGGGGCTCCGCAGCTGCCCGCCTCACCTGTGTGGAGAGGCGGTTTGACCTGCTGGGGGTGTTCCAGTGGTTGCCATCAACATCTCAATGTCAGCTGCTGCAGGGGGAAAAAAAAAAAAAAAAGCAGTTTAGGGTTATCGTTAGAAAGTTAGGCATGGACGTGACACTGCAGCATGTCACACCATATTTTTAAAAGGTGTAGTATTTGCCCGACTTCTGGCAGCTTGCTGAAGAATCACAGAGCTTACCTGGTTATAACTTGGAGCAGATGCTAGTGTTTGCCTCAGTAAAGGAAAGCAACTGTTGTACTTTTGCTGTTTTTATCAATACGTAAGTGTTGCTAGCATAGGCAGACTGAAGAATATAATTATTACACCCTAGTAGGTCTTTTCATCTCTTGTTCTGTCATCTTAACTCACTTATGCTTTTCATTTTCTTCTCTTTTCACTTTACCTGGTGCTTTTTCTTTCCCCATTATCTACTTACATGACGTACTTTATTCACCCCTCTCTTTGCATATGAGCACCTAATACACTTCCTAATGAAGTCAGTGAAGTGAGTTCCATTAATTTGAAGAACTGTAGAGCTGAGGTGATTTTTCCTCTCCACACCGGCGGCTTTTCCTAGCCCCTAAGTTTTTTGGTTTTTTTCTTTTCTCTTGTGCCTAACCACAAATTCCCTTGTGCAAAAAAACCTGGCTGGTTTTGTTTATCACATCCCGAAGATTTCTCTCTGTAAAAGGACTTGTGCAAAAAAACCTGGCTGGTTTTGTTTATCACATCCCGAAGATTTCTCTCTGTAAAAGGACCAAGGAATACTTTTCATGCTCCATTGATACAAAGTAGTATTGTAGAGTTAATAGTTATCTCAAGGAATGGCTTTTAAAGATAATCTCCAGGAGCAACCTATTTAAATGCTGCTTGTTCTCCATAGAAGCTTCTCCCATGGAGCTCTGGAAGAGCACGGTGATTAAGGAATATTCTGAATGCAGTACCATAGCAGTTACAGTGGGGTAGTCTGAAACCTATTTCATGCCAGAGTGATGATGTTCCACTAAGAGGAAAGGTATCTCAGTGATGTAACTTGATCTGCCAGTGCTCAGAAATGTGCTTTGTGTCTGTGCCCCATTGCATTAGCACTGAACTAGCACGTACTAGATTTGGAACTGTGCTTGCTGAACTCGCAAAGAGCATTAGGAGGAAGACTGTGGGCTCAGCGCTAGTCTTGAGAAGAGAAAATGCTAAGTGGTTGTAAAACTGTTGTAAAATGGGCAGAATGAGACTAGAATGTTGTATTTGCATCTGATAGTATTTGTTACTTTAAATACGCAGCTGCGCTTGAGGCACATACTGCCAGCAAGCAGAGTCATGATGTTAGCCTGACTCACTCACGTTGCGTCTTCTACTTTGCAAGAACAGTCCGAAGATGTCAAGACTTGCTATGCTTTACAGACTCCGAATGCCAGTGACCTCTGAAGTGCTGCACGCTATCATATTGTGCAAGGACACTCACCCTTGTTTTACTCCAGTGAACTTACCTCAGTTTAAGACAATTTTTTTGCAACTTATACTGGGGAGGGTGTGTAGACATTTTAAAGTATTCAGTCCTGCTGAGAGATCTCTATTGCTGTCACACCAAAATATCACATGTTGGGTAACACATGCTCTATTTTTCATAGGATCTGCTACAACACATGCACCTTGAAGCAGAAAAGGACCTTCCTTTTGGCAGTTCCCTGTGTTGGGATATATACAAATGTAAAAAAAGGAGAGCGTGAGTCTTAGGTCACCTTAGAATACGCAGATATTAGAGCAGATGCTAGCAGGACAGTAAGAGGCTATGTGGTGACAGGAGATCAAACTGTATTTAATAATGCAACACATTTTCTTGGTGTTGGGAGGCTGTTACTCACAAAACCGCGATCATGCTTTCTGTAACCAGATAGAGAAGCAATGGAACTGGCAGAGGAGAAGCAGAGGGTTAATATTGCTGAGCAAGTATACACAGCAATTGGGAAGATGGAGGACAAGGAAAAGTTAGCTATCAGTGTGCATCATATAGTGGCAAAAAAATAACAATGTCTGTCAAACAGCATAGAATAACATGTTTCCAAACCCATCAATTTATCAGAACAGCAGCGTGCTTTTGCATAATAACAGTTTTTAGGATAAACTTGCTTTTGAAACTGTAAACAAATAGAAATAGTGTCTGGTATCGGAAGATGGCATTCAAGCTGTAGTTGCAGTGTTCTGAATTAAAATACAGTTTTCATTGTGAAATGCAAAATATTGTGCAAAAAGTGATACAGGATACATTCGTATTTCATTCAGGTTTATAGATTAGAATAACTTCTGTTTTCTTTTTAAGGAAAGAAGGATTGTCCAAGTGTGGAAGATGTAAACAAGCCTTTTACTGTGATGTGGACTGTCAGGTATGGTAATTGTGGTGGGAAGGGGGGTGGGCGTTGCTGAACTCCATTTTTTGTTTGTGTGGCATTGATAGTCTCTAATTGTAGCTGTGGTTAACAGTAGTCCAGTCAGCTTCAGCATCCCACAGATGCTGACCATGGAGTTGTGCATTGGACAATTACAGGATTTGGACATGGTCTGCATGAGTCTTTCAAGATCAGTAGCTCCAGGGCTCGGTACCACTGAGACTTTGATTAGGGCTGCCTGTCAGCCCACTAATTATGTCTGTATTACTTCTTTCTTTAAGCACAAACCAGATAATCTAACATTAGCTCACTAAACTGGTAAGAGAGTCTGTGTCTAATGGAAAAATCAAATTGCTAAATAGCTATCCTAAGGGGTTTTTGTTGGATTTTTTTTTTTTTTTTTAGAATCTTTGCAAATATTTTGGGTGGCCACAGCTGACAGTAGTCATCACCATTTAAAACCTACCATGCTTTCTCCCTAACTCACTCATTCTGGCAGCTTTTATTCTTTTTGTACATTTTGTTTTTTAAAAGCCCCTGAAAATAGAATATAAGCATAGTCTAAAGTAGAGCAATGTAAAGACATCCAGAATATTTGCATGCAGTTTTAATTCCATTTTGACTTAAAACTAGAATAAGCACCTTTCAGGAAAATAATTTTTGCCAGAACTACTGTCTAGCCTTTGTGGGCTGTCAAACTTGATATGGAAGAATTATCCAGTTTACACATGGAAAAACTCAGCTGGATTGCTAGCTATGCTTATGTAAGCTATGTAAGATCTGTGGTGCTGGGCACAGAGCATGGAACAGTGCTTGTGAAGGATTTGAGTCGCCAAAGGTCTGGCATGCAACTACGTGTTAGCTATAAGTAATCCAAACCTCCTACATGGTAGCGTGTTGTTGAGTGCGTGGATTGCATGCAAAGTATTCTCCATTGTCATTATCTGGATGGAGATGTTGTGGTTTGTGCTGTTCAGTTCCCAAGTACTTTGGAGATGGCTACCGCTTTTGTTTCAAGGATGTCTTATTCTCCCATTGTGCAAATTGCAAAGCGAGCCTGGATTCCCCTTAGTTTTCCTTCTGTTCCCTCTCCAGATTCCTGCTTTCCCACAGCTTCTTAGTGAAATGTGGGTGAATCAAATGGCCTTTTAGTTTTGAAGCACCAGCAGGACTCAAAATGCTTAAATCATATTTTTACAAAATTTGCAATAGTTCACAGAATATTGAAAGACTGATGGCCAGCAGTTGCTGGGAAGAAGGAGAACGCTTACTGTATGAGCATCCTTAAGGCTCTTGAGAGAAATCTGTATGAATTTTAAAGACAGTGTAGAGAAAACCCACGATTCGTTGATGAGAAGTGCTTATTTGTAAGAAGTGTTTCCATATGACATTATTTCTTAGGAAGCTTTTAACTAGATGAGGGAAGGAAATACTTAAACAAAGCAACTTATTGGCTGTCTAGTGCTTTTTATGTGAGATTGTGAATTTCTTCTCTTAACATATGAAATTCACAATGGTTTAATGAAGCGGGTAAGCAAGATTTACTGAAGTAGGAAAGCTCAGTGATTTGTGCCAGGAAAAATAGCAAGTAGATATCACGGTAGAAGTAGTAGAACTGATCCACGGTCCTTTGCTTTTACCTCCAAGTCCGTCCCTCAGTGTCCTGATTTCTAGCCTTGACAAAGTTTATACTTTTATATTTAAGAACAAGGAGGTGTTTTTCTCTCTTTTCCCTGGGTAAAGTCTTGTTACCTGTGTTGCTTCCTTAATTTGATTTTTTTTTTTTTTTTGGTGGTCAAAATATTCTTGAATATTCTTTCTCTAGTGGGGCATATTCCAAGAATAAAAAACTGAACTGCTCAAACTGAGTGTCCTTAAGACTGCAGGAGATAATGCTGAGTAAAAGCCTTCTATCTGATCAGTTAATGAATTAAAATCGTTTCTACCTGTTGGTGTGTAGTAGGATGCTTTAGTTATAAAGGTATTTTTTTAGATGTTTTGATATCTAGACAGTAGTAGGACAAGGACAGGTACTAGCACTTCATTCTTACTGCGTATGGCTTTTGACTCCCTCCTAGTTGATCTAACATTATCTTAAATATTTTGGGCCCTTCTGAGTCAGTTGGATGAAATTTATGAATGTGTCTGAGATTGAATTCTTTGACATTCTTTCAAAGTTACCTTCAAGCATAATATTCTCTCGAAACCAGTCTCCACTGACTATACGTGCTGCACAGACAATCTGCACTGCATCTTCATCCCTGTCTTGTTCAAAGGCACTTTTCAGCAGTTCAGTAATTCTTTGTCAAATCCAAAAAGGACAGTTGTGCCTTGATACTGAACTTGTAACATTGGGATGTACACTAAATGTGTCTCTTTTGCCTCCAGGTATGTGAGACTTCTTCATGCAACACTGATAAAAAGGCAGGGCTGTACTTGAGAACTGTGATGGCATTGTTCATTTGGTTTTTATTTTTCCAAGTTAATTTTCTCTGTAAATCCATGTTTTCTTTGCTCCATTTGGCTAAAAATTACATGTGCTCAACAAGGACATGGTATGATTTCGTGTGTTCGTTAGTGCCTTATTACTCAATAGAATTCAGTTTGACAGCTGTTTGTCGCATGAAGTATACTGTATGGGATAGAAAACCAAAATTTTTGAGCTTACTTTTTTCTTACTTAAAGACGTGCTATATCACAATTCATAGGAATTACTTCTAGTGGTGGGGAGAGATGAGTTAGAAGTAGACAAGAGAAAGGTACCAAATTGTACAGCGGGAAACAATTTTTTGGGATGTCTTTTTCAGAATTACGGATTTTGTAACTGCAGACGTCTTCCTCTCTCTAGTGTGTTTCTGTTGAATGAGATTTTTTTTTTCCCTCTTGCAGCGTAACGTGGTTTTTGAAAGTCAAGTTAGTGACACTGCGTGTACTTCACACTCTGTTGAGCCATATCATATCCTGTTCTGAAGTTCTTAAAATACTTTCCAAGCATTTAATGAATGAGGCCTCACAGCAGCCTTTGTGGTATTTCTGTTGCAAATGAAGTATGGATACATGAAGATACATTCAGTTGCTGAAGATCCACCAAATGGTAGAGTGCATCTCCTGACATCCGGCCAGGCGTTTGGTGCGTTGACCACATCCTGCTTTGCAGTATAATTCCTTTGCCCTGGTTGCTGGGGAAGGTGGTGTCACGCTGTAGTGTGAGGGACTGAACCCAGGGTAAGACAAAGTCTTGCAGTGACATAGTGGCTCATTTGGTTATGGCACTCTCTATGCACACACATATGCATGCAAGCTGGCCCTGGCACAGTTCGCTTAGTGCTAACATATGTCTTTTGCCTGTTTTGGTCTATTGTTTTGCTTTTAAGATCGATAACTTCAAGATTGAAGATTAAGCTGGCTGTTCCATCGGGGTAGGTTCAGTCTCAGATGCGGGGCACATGAGAGAGGAAGTTGACTTCACTGCCTGTCCTTGCTGCCTTGAATGTCTTGTGGGTTGGGGGGATCTAGCTTGGGTTTGCTGCGTCTTTCTTTTCCCAGCCCCTAACCCAGTTCTCCTTCTAGAAGGGTTTGTGATTTCCAGCTGATTCATACCGTTCTGCTCTCCACTACTGCCTTCTCGAACCACAGGCCTGTTGTTATAGTAGTGGCTTTCAGGCCCCATCTGCAGCTGTTCAGGTCTTGACTTCTTAAATTATAATAATTTTAGTCAAACAGCAGGAGACCTGCGCTCTTTTTTTTTCCTCAGAAACTAGCTGTTGAACCACTCCGAAGAGAAATGTTTTAAGAGGGTTATGTGGTTGCAATTGTGGAGCTGGTGAACTTGAACCAGCTACTGGAGCTCCTCTTTCTGTTATTACACATAGCTATTATTTATCCCAGACAGAGTGGAGATCAGCTAGACAAAGTGCAGAAAGATGTTTTTGTCATGGCATTCCATATTTGAAATATATTTTGAACAAAATATTTACGGGTTTTTCATAACATGTCATGTTAAAGAATGCTGTAGTTGATATTTCTCTAGTAAGGGAAACGTATTTTTTTTTAGCCAGCTAGTAAGCTCAAAATGTAGTTGCAGACCTGGAATTAGCATCAAACAGATGTGTTTTAAATGGAACCTTGTAGAAGTTGCGCACTGCTCTTTGGTGAGCTGTAGAAAAAATATGAAATTCTTGCTGTAATGATTCTTCACAAGAGGAATCTGACACTGACCCTGCTTAAGATTGCCTTGGGGAAGTGTCTGTCCCCCTATCTATCCAAAAACTTTCTCCATGTAATCTTTGATAAATGTTTCCTATGAACCCTTTGAACATTAACCCATGGAAGTCAAATACTCTCTATGGTCCAGCATTCGGTAGATGATGGTAGGGAAGGATGGCTGTGAAGATGTGTAAAACTCTTGCCTTCACTACTTGGTGAAGGACTGTATTGGAGAACTTTTACAGAATAATATCAGATAATAGAATTTGCCTCACTGAAATTTGATTGAAGAGTTGGGTGCCATTTGAGCATAATTGGACCTTAAGCTTTGAAAGAAGTGGGCTTAACTCTTACGCTGGCTTGCCCAGCATTTCTGTCTGGTATTTGTGTGTGTTTCTTTTTGATCAAGTGAAATACAACAGAAATTTTACATCCCATTGAAAAAGTCCATTTGAAGAAGGAGATTTGGACTTGAGTCTTATTTTTTTTGAGTATTACGTTTTGTTGTTTGGGTGGGTTTTTTTATGCTGAGCTATATGACAGTGTTCTGGGAATTAATCCAGTGGTTCTGGATGGTGGAATCGTTTTGAAGAACTTGGTGGGGAAGATTGTTTCCATTCTTTAAAGCTTATGCTTTTCACATCAAAGAACTTCCCTTCCAAAAATGTTGTCACTCACTCCTAAATGAAGGGAAAAATACTGTGGATGTAATGAAAATAGGAAGAAAATATAATTAATGTGGCATTAAGGATTCAACTAGAACAATACTACCTGTTATAATTCAAACTACTTAGAGAAAAATGTGGAAAAGAATGCAAAATGCAGTCCTGCTGTGATTGCAGGGCAAGCTGCTGTCACAGTGTTTCCATCCCTCCCAATACTCTCTCTTCTTGTGGTGTTTCAGGCTTTTATCTCATTTTGCACAATTTGGCCATATCGTGTCCCTTTAACCTCCCTACTGGTTCATATAACTCAGTATGAATCTGCCTGGGGAAAGATTTTAATTAACAATGTGTGAAAAATAGAGGGAACAAATGGATTTTTAAAAAACACTGCTTTGAGACAGGCACATGACTTTGCATTTTGATTTTTTTTTTTTGTTTTATTGGGTAATCTCTCCTGTTTATTCAACTGCTGTGTATGGGTGTGGGTCCTACAAAACTTCGTGTTCTGTGCCTTCGCTTCTTTCACACCCAGCAATCACGCTGAAGTTGGTGGATGTCGTGAGTGTGCAAGAAGGGGTGAGAGATGAGGTCTCCCTTTGTCTCTCTTAGCCCTTAGCATGTGGATTCCTAAGCAAAGGCTATCAGGAATTTTCCAGAAAAAGGTCTTGGGGCATACATTGGAAACAGGCCTGCTGGGGGATGCATTTTGTAGTGTGACAGCTGTGGGAGAGTTGAGAGTGTAATTTCACATGACATGATTACAGTGTAATATACTATTTTGGTTCTCCTGGTCTGTATTGCCGCTTCCTCTTAGAACGTTTACACTGGAGCTTATTTCAAGCAGCCTGTACCTAGGTTTTTTTGGACGTACCATACTGAGATAGCAAGGACAATGAAGTTGACATTGTGAGGGGTTGAATACCCTTGCAGTGTTGCGCTACTTGAAATCCTACATGAAGGAGACTGGGGCAGGTGTTCACCTTTTTTTTCCTAATAAAATAAACTATTGAATCTGTCCACGCCTAGGGAAATTAAAATGGCCATTTTCAGTGGAAGAATTTTTGGTGTTCTAACTCTGAAATTAGTGATCTTGGCTTTTGTTTTGATCTGCAAAACCTGTAAATAAGTAGAGGCAGGAGACACTGGGGGTCCTGATTCAGCTGGCTGTTGGAGGTGCCTTGCGTTGTCCTATGTTGCCTCCAGCTGTAGCTCCCACGAGGAATACATCTCCCAGTAGACCTGTATCATATCTACTGGTCCTGTGTGGATGTTTTAGATAGCCTAGGGTGTCTCAGATGGCTCTTGCCATCAGTGGTTAGGCAGCTGAGGGAAACTATGTTTCTTCTGTTCCTGCCACTCAGTCACTCTGGGCTATATTGATTTTTTTTATTATTATTATTATTTTTAAATTGTTTTTGAGTGGGTTAACACAGGGTCTGTGATACTGGAGTGAATCACAGGGGATTTAAGAACTTCCTGGAGACTGCAAAAAGGTTTTAAAGTTTTCACTTTGAATCAATTATAAATTTGTGGGATTTGTTGTGATTTCTTTCCTCTGCTACCATTTTCCACCAGTTTAAATCTGGTCTGAAAACAAAACTTGATGCTCCCTATACAGGCAGAGATCTACAGGTCTGTTCTAACACAGTGCTATAAATGTATGTCTGGGATGAGATACAGAAATAAATAACTGCATTACTCAAAGAATATTTCCACGTCTGAATAAATAAATAAAATAAAATTTGATGCAGTCTGAGGACAGCTCATGCCAGGCTCTATGTGCCCATCTTTTTCAAAGTTTCTGTTGCTTTGGAGGAAATGTGTAGAGTGCCAAAAGCAAGTGGCTTGTGCCGTCGCTCCAAGTGTTATTGTACGTTGAGCTAGGGATATGCTATACATCCTTAACTGAAATGCGTTTGTCTTTATTAGTGTGTTTTCATTGCCTAGTTGTACTCTTATTCTACAACATTTAAGGAAAAAAATGTGATAATTCTGTTCAGTAGGTCTGATTTTGACCTTATACACACAGATTCTTACAGTGATTGTGAATCCATTGACTTCAGACACATTACTCCTGATTACACCAGGGTCGTCTCATAATGAGGGGCCAAGGTATTAAATGGAAATGAACCCAATAAAGCCATCAAGCTCAGACCTACCCTGTCCTCACGTGCTTGATCTGAACAATAAGAACTGGTGATTTATAAATCATGTTATCTGTTTGCTTCTTCGTCATTTTATTCTTTTTTTTCCATTGAACAAATGAAGATGTTCTGACCTTAACTCATCCCTTGTGAATTTATTTGAAAAAAGCAGGATAGCTGTACCCCTTAAATGTGACTCAAGCTTTTGTTCAGATTTAGTGAGCGTCATCTTATTTTTTTAAAGGAAACACATTTCACTTGACCTCTAGGATCTGGCAGGACTTGCTGCATCCGCTTTTGCATCACTTTATCTTCATGCCTTTTTTTTTTTTTTTAATATTGTTCTACATTTTCAGAAGGAAGATTGGCCAATGCACAAGCTAGAGTGTTCTGCCATGTGTGCTTTTGGGCAGAACTGGAATCCCTCTGAGACCGTGAGGCTAACGGCGAGGATCCTTGCCAAACAGGTGAGCAGGAGGCTATACTTGGGAGGTATGTTCCTACTCTGGGTGCCAGGGAAGGCAGGAAAATGAAAATTGACCGACAGTGACTGTCCCTGCAAAGCACATGCATACTAGCTTCCTGTGTACAGAAGCATTAGCAGCTGAATGCGCTGACAGTCAGACCATTGCAGCAGTGTCAGGGCCACTATAGTCCAGCTGGAGACTTTTGTGGGAAGATGGCAAAAGGCTAGTGAGGTCTTAAGCTGTGTTGCTGTAACTTATGGCCAAGGTAGTGTTGAACAGAGTCTGGAAAAGTTTACTGAATAGTGTCACAATGTGCATGGTGTTTCAACCTCCATTCTGGTAGGTTGGAGCCCTTAGTTACATGTGTGGACTAGCACCAAGGCCACGTTGGTGAAGGGAAAGAAGAATGAGACTTGGTATATGTGGTTAAATTCTGAGGAGTGCTCCTAGTGTTATCTGTCTGCGGGCACTGACGTCTTTGAGGCAGTTGCCTGTTGTGCTATTTTTGCACAGCTATATCTGCGTAGCATTGTGTAGTATATAACTCTCAGTACATTTGTGAGTCAAGAACAACCTCTGAGGTATTCAGGTATAAATGTTTGCGATTACTGGCGTTAACTGGTGAAACACAGAAGTTGAGAGAGGAATCTCAGGCCCTTGGTCTTTGGAGAAAAAGAGTGTTATTAATAAGGAAATAGTCAACCTCCATTTCAGTGTTCCCTAACTATATGGATACTGAGGATGACACAAGTGCTTACGGGGAAGGGACAGGATTCAAGAGTTTCAAGGTTATTATGCTGTGTATCTTTGTAGAGCTCTAAACTCTCTGCAAAAACAAATCTTCTTTGAAGCACATTTGTGTGATTGAGGTCTGCTTATGTGACAAGGGCAACCTGGATACTGTATGTAGTGAGGATTTTGGTGGCCTGCTGGGAAGGTAGCTGGCATACTTGCTGTGTGTGTAGATGCGCATGTGTGAATGTATGTGTGTGTGACTTAATTAAAGCGTGGTTTAGTGGTGATCCACAAACAAAATCGAATGTTTAATGACAAAAAGTCATTGGAATAAATCTGTGCTTTTATTGCTTACAGGGAGGGGGGAGAACCCTACATGTCATATAAAAGCTAAATATGCAAACCATAGTCCCTGAACCTCAGCTGCTGGGCCACCTGCAAAGCCATATTTAATGGCCAAGATTACAAAGAAGTGGCCTTAGGCCAACAATGGAGCATTGCTTTTGAACTCTGTCAACAGTCAGTTTATTCACTTTCCTCAAAGCGAAGCCTGTCTCCTGCCTGCTTGCTATTGTTAGCAGCTTTCTGGGTGTCTAGAACAAAGCAAATGACATATTTAAAATACTGTTCAGTTTATGTGTATAAATTTGATAGGAGTTAATCTTTGGCCGCCTGATTTGGTGCAGAGAGAACATTTCTATGGCTTTACTAAGGGCCGTCAATTTAACTCATTGCTGTTCATCAACTTCTATAAATTCCATACAGTGGGGATTTGGGTTTGTTTTACAGGTAGGATTTCCAGCTTATGAACGAGAAGAAAAAACTACCAACTTAAAACATTAAAATATTTTCTCGTTACTTTTTTCCCCTTATTGGTAGAAAACTCACCCTGAAAGAACACAGTCAGAGAAGCTGCTTGCTGTAAAAGAGTTTGAATCACGTAAGTAAAAAAGGCTTGCAGGTAAATAGAGGCAGTTATCTATATTCATGATTTGCTTCTCCCTGGCCCTCCTCCATCAAAACCTTTCAGAGCATCCCGCTCCTGTTGGAGGAAGGGAGTAAACAAAGAGAGTTGTGTCTCCTCATTTTTTGAAAGTGCAGTGCTCTTCTTTCTTTCTTTTTTTTTTTTCCATGGTCACTTGTGGGGGCTTTGAAACAAGGGTGAAAACCTAGACAGAATTAATTATGTAGCATACATCCATCTCATGGCTTTTCTGGTACTCTAGTGTCTTTTGAGAATTGTAATGTTGTAAAATTAAAATAGCTAGTATTTGTTACCAGGAGGCATAAAATCAGAGACAGTACAGTTGCTTGATGGTGACAGTGACTAAGGGGCTAATTGCAGAACCCTCTGGACTGTGCTTCGGTATCTGTCACTGCCAGTCAGATCTGACATGTTATATATGATTGTGTTGAAATTCCATGTCCTAAATGCTCAAAAATAATCCAAGGAAGGAGATGAGGCAATGGCTTGCTTTTAACTGGAAGGCTACTGTTTGCGTCCGGTGAGCCGGAGTTAGAAATTGAGCAACTGGGGACTAGTAATGATCCTGGTATAGTTTTCACTGGTCTGTTGTTTCTTGTTGCTGGGGGTAATGCACAAGGAGACAATAGGTTTGTGTATTCAAATTTCTTACTCTGATGGCTTCCAAAATCCTTTCTAAAATGCTGAATCAGTGCAGCGATTGCTGGGACTTGAGGTAGCAGAGTAACCAAGCACAGCAAGGTTACAGTCTTATTTGCTTCCTGAACAAAAGCTCCTGTCAGCTGTTTGGACAACTGGGGAAATAAGGGGGAAAAATGCCGACATTTGACTTTGCCTAAGGCGAGGGTAATTTTTACAGGTAGGTTAGTAGGATTGAGGTTGAGGAGGATGGGTAAGTGCTGAAGTAATTTCTGTGTATTCTCCTGCATTGCAGCTTGTCTTCAATAATTTATTAATTAGGGAGCTAAAAGGCTGAAATGTTTTTTCTGTTGCAATGTCCCCCTGTCCTCTAGGAGTCCTTGTTCTGTTTCTGGTTTTGTTAGTAAGAACCCCTGTTCCTTCTGCCTTGTTGACTCTCATCTTTTAGCGCACCTTTGCTATGTTGAGCAGTTGCTTTACGCTTTGCAACACCCTGCACAGAAGGGGAAAAGGCACCTCGCTGTCAATTTGAACATGAAAATTTCTTATTTCTGATTTGTCTTAATTCTCATGAAATTGTCCCATTTCAGTATTTTTTATGACTCTCCTGTCATTCACATCTGTTCTTACAAATCATTTCCCCCTGCTTCCACTGTTGTGCAGCCTTTTCTCTTCCTGCATGTTTTTCTCTCCACTGTTATTTTGAGTTGGAGATGGGAAACCGATGAGTTGCTGGCTCTTGTAAAGCACGAGCGAGCTGGTGACACAGCCACTGTGAGAGAGAGGATTAGGAAAAAACCTGCCAATACTCTGCTCTTGAGGAGAGAGCAAGGACCAGGAGTATATGGTCGATCATCTAGCTTGCTCTGCATGGACCAGGCAGTAAAAGGTTCAGTGGCCACAGCTTTGGTTAGACTCTGCCATGGGCCTGAGGGTCAATCTCTGAACAAACCCATAAGGGAATATGCTTGGCAGGTGTGCCAGGACATTTCTATTGATGTTCCTGCTGTCTCCTATTATCCTCTGATATCTGCAGGTTAAACACTTCTGTTGACGGTCACTGCCCAGCCCATGGGAGACACGAGCATTCTCAGTCACTGTTTGTTTCCTCCTGATGCAAGCGCCGGCAATAGGGGTCAGGTGGATTGCACTCCTGGGCACCCTCATGTTATCCTCCTCTTGCTGCAAAGGGAATCCTGGTGACTAGCCCCAGCGTTGTTGACAACCTTTGTTAGATCTCTATTACATGTGGCGACAAATAGGGCCTCTGTGCTGAGAAAGACCCCATGCCTCTTAAAAGCAGGGATGAGCAGCCTTCCTTAGCAGAAATCTGGGCTGGTTTGTACCGATGATTAGGTCCATATGAGGAAGTTGCACTATATAAAGCATGTTTTAAGAAGTGTGATGTTGAGTGTGACTTCGTACCACAGTAGATAAGACCAGGTAGCTCATAAGATCGTGTTAGACAGTTGAGGATAGCTAGTTGACAGATAGTTAGACAGTTGATGGGCTTCTAGAGGGCCAGGGCTGGCTGGTCTGTTTTCTAGGGTTAACAAATGCACTTTCAACACTGTAACCCTTCTCCCAAGAAAGGAAAATTTGTGTCCAACTACATGCTAATGTAAAGATGTTAGAAAATGCTTTTTAACCCTGCATGTTCTTGTAGTGCACGTGTGGCTTTCGCAGAAGCAGCATTACGTTTATGGAAGAACAGATGCGTCTTGCAGTACTTCCAAGTAGCTGTTCCTTGAGGGGTTTCTGTTTACGTTTGGGCCTGTTCTAACCTAAGTCTAGCTGCAGTTCACAGGGGAGTGTTCCTGTTACTGAAATGGAATGTATTCTTTGTCCACAGACCTTGACAAACTAGACAATGAAAAGAGAGAGCTGATTCAGAACGACATTGCTGCTCTTCATCACTTTTACTCAAAGCACTTGGAGTACCCTGACAATGCTGCCCTTGTAGTTCTCTTTGCACAAGTAAGTTGGCTAGAGCACAGCCTGCTTAGGTGGATGGTGCTGTAGGAGTTTAGCCTTTGTGAAAGGGGAGAAATGTTAATGGCAATGGAGATAGTATCTCTTTGCTTATCTTGGGGAGAGCTGAGTGTTCTTAATGGAGAAGATCCACTTCCTTGAGCAGAAGTGGCTGGACATGCCTCATTTCAGTAGTGAGGGGAGAGACTCTTGTCTGCAGACTTTCTATGAGGCGCTTCTCAAACACTGAAGAAAAGGGGAAACAACCTGTATAAGACCTTGTCAAAGTTAGGCTTCTTGCGGGCCAAGCATAGTGCAGCTGTTGTTGGACTTGCACAGAAGGCTGCTGGTCTGAGACCCTGCAGAGGCAAAATCCTTCATTCCAGCTTCAAATCCGTGGAAATCCTTGCTGGTCAGGTCATCATTGTGTTTGACCTTCACAGGGAGTAAACTTCAGAGAAGTAGAAAGACCGGTCTGAAACTTTTATCTTGTGTGTGGCTTTTAAATGCAGTCAGGTAGTTTGGTCATCTGGAGAGATGAAGGAAAGACAGGATGTCTTGTTAGATAACTTCTGAGATGTCACCTCTTTTTCTCACCTCCTTTTCATATGTATCTAAATTGAATATATTGTAATGGATGGAATAACAAACCAGTGGAATACGGAAAGATCAGTTTTCTTCTTTTTCGTCCTGTACTTCAAAATAAGCTGGTTTTAAACAATTATCTGAATAAAAACTTTAATTTTTTTGAGATGGGGGCAAATGTTGACTGCTGTGATAAAAGCTGAGATGGCAATATCCTGGTTGGTAGAGCTGGGCATCTACTAACAAGGAGACACAGTAACTATTTCTTTAATACAGAGGTATTGTTATTCTCTAGGGGAATGATTCTTTAATGTGTTTGGCATCTGCTTATCAACAATTGTGCTGTTTCTAATTACACATTTCCCTTCAATAAAAAGTTTTTTTCTGTTTTGAACACTTTACAATTTATATTTGTCATATGGACACTTTAAAGACATCAATACATCCAGTTTCTTGTGATGTTTCTGAATATTTTTGTTAGAATGTAGACAGAATCCCCAAAGATTATATTATTTTGGCTATAATGACTTTTGCTTCATGCCCTGTCCTGGACCAGCTCTACCAGATCATGGTACTGTAACTGGCTTTTGTGAACTGCTGTCTCCCAGATCTGATTTTCTACCCAGTCTTCTCTGTGACACCTTAAGGGTCTGATGTCACCCTTAAGTGTCACCTTAAGCTCATCCTGATCATCAGGCAACTATGCCACTGTGGACATCGCAATTTTTTGAACTAAAAATTCCAAAGGCTATCTGGATGCTCCTCAGAAGTGTTTTATAGGACACAACCTTTTGAGGTTTTAGCCCCAGCATAAATCTTTCTAGAACAAGGGGAGATAAGTATGAACATGTTTCCTATAATTAGTTAACTTGACCTAAAACAATAGTATGGACATGCTGCTACTCCTTTGTTTTGCTTCAACGCTTTCTCTGGCCTCATGTTGTCTACTTTGCTCCTGCATTTGGCATTCTTTCTCCCTGTGGCTCAGGGCAGTCGTTTGGGACTTGGATACCTCTGACTCCTTGCTCACTGCTTTTTGTGGGCTTTGTCTGATGTTTCTTACTCAACACAGCTAAGTTGTAATTGGTCCTTTTGAGTGGAGCAAAGATTTTTGTCCAAACCATTCTTGCCTTTCACTGCTCTCTTCCCCAGCTGTTGGTATCATTCTGTTCTCTTTTGTCCCTGTGAACGTAGCTCTTGAGTCTGGCACTCTTCCTCTGCAGTCTCACCTTGTCACACTCTTCAAACAGTTTCTCTCTTGTCTCAAGTTCCAGCATCTCATCCTTTCCTTGAAGACCGTTTAGAATTTTTGTGCATCCCTTTGCACATTCTCTTTTCCACCATTGGGAACAACCTAGAGCTCTGTTTTTTTTGCTGTTGTCTCTTTACACCCCCCCCCCCCCCTGTCTCCCTTTTTTGTCTT